TCCAGAGCGTTAATACTTTCTTACAAAACATTGCATGTCTACCAGGCACATACTGAACTGGTGCCTTGTGATATATAGCACTTTTAGAATTTTTTATTGTTTATGTTTCCATGATAACAAGTTGGATTTAAGTTTTAATATAGGATTGGTTTATAACAAATAAACTGTTAAATATTTCCTTGCCAAACATTGCATGTCTATATATAAAGCGCATACTGAACTAGTGCCATTTGATATTAAGGAGTTTTAGAAATGTTTATTTTAGTATTTCCATTGCAGCTATTTTGACATGGGCTAAGAGAAATGTAGGGTCAGTTACCTGGTTTGGGACCATAACGTGTTAAAATGGGCGAGGGGTATAGATGACTTTGTCAACTACACGCTGTTATGGTAACAGTGAAGTCAACTTCATCAATCGGCATCTTCATCATCGGATGTCCGATTAAACATTGAAGGACCTAATGAATATACCTCTATGGCATGTGATGGCGTGAATACCATTGCCACTATTGCACAACATAGTTGTTTCACAGTAAGATGTCGATAAAATGTATGACATACATACACACTTAGAATATCACCAATAATATAGAAGATTAAAACAACTTCCACAACTAGTTGCGAAGATCTTGTTATTAAGCATTTGGAAATAGGGATCGTCTGTAGGCTTTATGAGGCTAAAACCTCACATACTTTAGGTCCTGGATTGTCAATGCAAGCCTTTCTTCTAATATACTTATTCAAACTGAAGACTCGTTAGGTCAAAGACACGCCGTGATATGACTGGAATACTGTTAAAAGCGGCGTTAAACACAACTCACACACTTAGATCAAAGAACATTGCCTTTCTAAACTCATTTCCCATAATACTTCACGAAATCAAAATACGTTTACAAAGACCATTCCCAGCCGTAACATAACACTAGCTTTGAAATACCCGGGCTATATCTAAACACGTACATTTTGGAAGGGAAATATTGTGTAATTAGTTCCCCGTGGGGCTAATTGCGGCCCTGTGTTTACCATCGTACCGCTAAACCAAACGTTCACTTAATCTCCTGAACGTGACGGACATATCTGATTTCAGCTCCGCTGAGAGTCATGTCTAATTACTATCAATAGATCTAAGAAGGATATACACCTGTTGATATTCAGATCTGTTAAGAACCCTATCCTATATTTGAATATACTGTATTTTACACGGCCTTTGGTGACGTCACGCACACGTGCACCAATCAGAGTATAGGTTGGCTAACCACAAGCTATAGTAATTCCCCTGTGGCAGTAATCTCCAAACCTATAACGCTCATCGAGACTCAGTCCCATTGGCTTCATCAGCTACATTCAATACAGTACCGGTTGGATAAATGTGACCTCCCACGACAATAGCAAGGTAAATGTGTTCATTGTTAGCCTCTTATGATTAGGGAAGTATGTATTCAATATATGCAAGATACTATGATATGATATATTTATTTATTATTTATTATATAATATCTATAAAACATGAAATAGTCATTGAAATCATGCAAAATTGCAATACCCTTCTTTAACATTATCACTTTTAATAATTTATATCAAGGATTTAGTTCCATATAAGCTTGGAACAATAATGTAGCAGAAAAAAGACAATATTGTCGCTTTCTCTGAGCCTATTCCATGAAAACGTATTCCCTTCCCTATTCACAAAGACAGTAAAAAAGTAGCGCCCCTTTGTTGTGCAAGGATCCTACTGGTTTTTACGATTTCGACCATATCGATAGCATGTGTTTATGAATCAATATTTATTAGTGATGATACCCGGTGTTCACTAAAAGTTGAGCGTATTCTGCCCCACCTGTGGTACCAGTCACAAACACATGCAAAGGCAAGTCAAGTGTTCACCTAAAATCACGGGAACATATGGTAAAGTCAAAATAGGGAATACGCGTCAATCATAACTTTGGTCTCTGAATATGGAAATTGAAAGCGTTACTAAGGCTTTGAATTCTTGATCAAACTCTGATCAAACAACTTTTGAGCAAGATCGTATGACGCTCTTTGAAATCTCCCAAGAACTCACTCACTCGCATTTCTTTCTTCGTAGAAAACCATGAAATGTAAATATCGCACATAACTCGTAAGTCTACATCATATTTGTGGCAGTACGATTCTTGTCAGTATCAGGACAGTAAACACAGCAACAAAAGTACCAACATTTAACATTTAAAGCTTTTGTAATGTCCCTGAATGTATAAGACATTTAACGCTGAAATGTAGCTCAAGGTATTTATCATGACATTTGCCTTTGTTTAATATGGCAACACCAGGTCAGTGCTCATGTTGATGACGTGCGTTAAATGCCTATTTAGGTTGATAATGCCTGAACGCCTTTTATACCACATCTATCAATACCAACTCAATCGTTAGATCCAGTGACTTGTAACAAACATCTCCAGCCATCTGTGACACTGTGATAACCATTAGTAAATATAGAGGAATTGGGGATATATATATATATATATATGTATGTATGTATGTATGTATGTATGTATGTATGTATGTATGTATGTATGTATGTATGTATGTATGTATATATATATATATATGTATATATATATATATATATATAGATATATATATATATATGACAAGATATGCGAACATTAGAGTGTGGCATTTATAGGGAGGTTTCTCACCTCTTTACTAGCATTTACTTTAATGGATCGGTTCGCCGTGAATAGCTGGATAATGGGTGATGCGGCGTAAAACAATATTCATTCCTTCATTTAATAAATCGGGAGGTGACTTTGATGACAGCTTGGCGTCGTGCTCCAACGATCACTGGATTGTCTGGTCCAGGCTCGATTGTTAACGGGCCGCCGTCGTAATGCAGGGATATTGCTGGGTGCGGCGTTAGGCAACAAACCAAAACATACTTTTTATGACAATTGTGTGAGTGACCGGTGCTACAGGTAGAGCAGGACATTTCCCCTTTGCCGAGCACCTGTTGTAATCACTGAGTTTCAGTGATGCAGTCATATAATTTTCATCACAATTTTGACTTTTACGCCAAATGGAATAAGTTTGGGCAGATAATCGAGACTGATTATTCTCCGCTGTTTACGTAATGAATTTTCAAAGGAAAGCATTCACTGTTAATGTATTATTGCCTTCGATGTGCCTCCGTTACCTGTAAGACTGTCTAAAGTAGGACCAATTTAGACGCAACTTATACCTGCTGCGAGTAGATTTCATAATCAGTGGGGTGACTGCGTACGAACCCATCACCAGCCAAGTTCTTAATTGTGTTTTCCTTGCCGCAGGCCTTGTTTTAGTAGTAAAAATGTAATCAATATTTTGGGGGATATCAAGTCGTTGTGTCATCCTAGATCTATTGACAAAATGGATTACTTCTTGCGGGCAGGGGTGGTAGGGTAGCCTAGTGGTTAAGGTATTCGCTCGTCACCCCGAGGTTCCGGGTTCGATTCGATACCATTTGTGGTATTCCTTCCGTGATAATGATGGCATATTGCTAAAAGCGGCGCAAAACAATACTCTCACTCACTCTTGAAGGCAACGAGTTAAAAAGGAAAAATATGCAATAAATCAGGAAACATATGGTGTGTTGTTGTAAAAAACACACGGAGATAAGCGACTCAGTAAAATGTTAACTATGCGATATCAGTGTAGCTGCCGCATACAAATGCAAGCAGAGTTCAGAGTGCAAGTAAGATTTTGTATATGTGCATATATCGCCTAGATACTTCCGCGGATAAGCTTGGGCATGTAGTCTGTCTGGAGCAAGGTGGGCGAACTCTATCACATAGGTATAGCTGTTACAACAGCTCGAGAAACCGAACATACCTGCTGACATCGATCCCGACCCCGACCCCTAAGATACCCTTGACAACAGTTACCAGCCACTTGCGCAGTCCCTACAACTGTCCCCTAACATACGTGCTACAACTACAGAAGCAGATTACATACCAGGGTTTGCTAGGTGACACTTTTTGTCTCATCCTCGACCTTTGCATTAAGCAAGGGATGGGAAACGTACGTGTGTTGACGGTCCTTGGAGGGGGTGGGGGACAGAATAGCTCACTTTGCTTGATCAGACTTAACACTGATTCCTTGTGTGAAGAATGTAAACACAGAGATAAGTTACTTTGTTGTGAAGATGAAAGGATGGCCACGAAATAAAACACAGTACGTATGTTTAAAACTGCTGGACAATGGATGGTCATCGCCATTGTGTATGGGGTTGGTTATTATACCAATACTCTTCAACACCATATATACATACATAGAATGCCAACAATCTCTCCTGTTCTGAATTTTGCTTATAGTCAAACAAGATATCCATGGCAACAGAACGAATCTCGATTGCGATTATTGTTCTCGTCACTGATAACCCTAACTTAACATTAATTTCTGCGCTGACTATTTGTTGTATAAAGACAATTTTTGCTCGGCAAAATTTAACTATACTGTCTATTGGTAAAGTATTTTGTACACCACTGGAAAGGTTTCGACATGATGTATCTTAAAACAATAATATTGTAATGTTTTCACAACGAGGTTCGGACACATGACCGTGGTCAGTCAGGGTATTAATGACGACGCACGACCCCCAAGGGCTGTGCAGGCCTAGGGTGGATACCGCAGAGGTGTGAGCAGAAGTTGGTTGTCTCTTTCACACAGAATAATTGTCCGAACCTCTGGCTCATGTGAGTGACTATTGTTTCACGCAGCTTTTAGCAATATTACAGCAATATCAATGGGCTTCACACATTGTCCCCATGTGGGGAATCGAACCCGGGTCTTCGGCATGACGAGCGAACGCTTTAACTACAAGGCTGCGCAACCGCCCCATTAATTCACTGTAAGTGCGTGGGTGAGACTAGCATGAAACCCATGTTGGCAGGTGGAATGAGGGGGGCTGTTTCCAGATTCATAATGTGAGCTACTGCTACCAAAGATTCTCCAGCAAATAAACTCTACTCCCTTGTCATTTGCAGTGCAATAATTACCTGCATTGAAGACAAGCTTTCCTGTTCATCAGTCTAAGACCAAATGCCACCTGCAGTGATGACCTTTCTCAGATTTCTTGCACATTACACCGACATTTGCAGTGTACAGTGATCCGGCTTGACTTGGGACGGCTTGGGCGAAGGTCGCATTACGGTGCAAGCAATTACGTGGACAGGGTTAGTGTGTCAACAGAAACATCACTTCTAATTTATATACGGGTCACTGTTGAGGCATTTCAAATATTAATCAAATATTTGAATAGTGAACAAATACTTCTGTGATGCCATTACTTAAGTAATATTTCATCAGTTAACAACACTTAATAATACCACTGAGTGGTAAGAACATCCCCTCTCAATGCGAAAGCGGTACTTTAAATATAAAAAAACACAATGTTGTGATACCATTGCAATATTGTGTGTCCACTGCAATAGTGGTACATGAAATAGTGAAATGCATACAGTTTTATAACCCACTGCAGTAGTGGTACTTTAAATAGTTAACAACACTATTATGAGCCCCCTGCAATAGTGGTACGTGAAATAGCTAAAAACACTTTTATGAAACAACTGCAATAGTTGTACGTGAATTAGTAAAACACATAAGTTTTATGACCCACTGCAATAGTGGTACTTTCAATGGTTAACAACACTATTATGAGACCACTGCAATAGTGGTACTTTCAATGGTCAACAACACTATGTGCCCATGATTACTGTCTGGTGTGAATTCATGAATTAATTCTGATGAATACCACACATCTTTTTAAACAAGGTATATGTAGAATCAAACGCAAGGAAAGGTTTATGGTTAACATTATTTTCTTCATTTCATTTTCTGTACGTCTATTTACATTATTTTCTCTATTGGCACTGTTTTCTCTATTGATACTATTTTCTCTTTTTATACTATTTTTCTATTGATACTATTTTCTCTGTTGATACTATTTCTCTATTGACACTGCTTTCTCTCTGGATTCTATTTTCTCTATTGGTACTGTTTTCTCCATTGATACTATTTTCTCTAGTGACAACGCTTTCTCTCTGGATACTATTTTATCTATTGATACTATTTCTCCATCGATACTATACGTATTGAAGCGCAGCATCGATGTAAGCTGTTGTTTCGTCACATCCCTACTTACTTACATCCAAATATATACAATATACTACAGGGTACTACTAAACACTATTCTTATATAGAAAGGGAAAAAAACCAGGGGATAATTAGAAAAGAAAAATCTACTGGGAATCAGCGCCATAGCTGACGAGAACTGTTCCCACAAGCCAGTTGCAGTGTGTATGTATGAGCATTTGTTATCAACAAACCACCTGACCTGACGTTCAGTAACGGACCCTTTTCTATTTGTGCTGGTCACGGGCCTCGGACCAGCAGTTAAATTGACTCCAGAATTATCCCGCTGCATATACTTCGGTGCCTCGCTGCGATCATAGTGCCAGTGTTATTGTAAAATAGATTAATAGTTTTCTTCGAAATATATCGATTAGTGGTTTACAAGTACAGTAAACTACGGTTATAACGAACTCAAAGGGACTACTAATTTTAGTTCGTTATAACCGTAATTCCTTATAAGCATATATACAGCATAACTACAGCATTTAGTCGGGACTAAAAAGTTAGTTCGTTATATCCGTTAGTTCGCTATAAGCGTGTTCGTTATAACCGTATTTTTCTGTATTTATGTTCTATTTTTTTCAAATTACGTCTCGTCTTGTGTTAAAAATCCAGTAATTTTCAAATCACCGTTTTTTGATGTGGCAAATATTTATACAATGGATATATGTGCGTGTTGCTATAAATGTCGGTATTTCACATAAACAATTAATGACTTACTGGTATTGTTACTTGCGGTCATATTACAATGACGGTTTATACAACCCCGGCGTCTGTACAGGAAGCTAAAGTAGATATGTTGTTAATATGACGGTTTATACAACCCCGGAGTCTGCACAGGAAGCTAAAGTAGATATGTTGTTAATATGACGGTTTATACAACCCCAGAGTCTGTACAGGAGGCTAAAGTAGATATGTTGTTAATATAACGGTTTATACAACCCCGGCGTCTGTACAGGAAGCTAAAGTAGATATGTTGTTAATATGACGGTTTTTACAACCCCGGCGTCTGTACAGGAAGCTAAAGTAAATATGTTGTTAATATGACGGTTTATACAACCCCGGAGTCTGTACAGGAAGCTAAAGTAGATATGTTGTTAATATGACGGTTTATACAACCCCGGCGTCTGTACAGGAAGCTACAGTACATATGTTGTTAATATGACGGTTTATACAACCACAGAGTCTGTGCAGGAGGCTAAAGTAGATATGTTGTTAATATGACGGTTTATACAACCCCGGCGTCTGTACAGGAAGCTAAAGTAGATATGTTGTTAATATGACGGTTTATACAACCCCAGAGTCTGTACAGGAAGCTAAAGTAGATATGTTGTTAATATGACGGTTTATACAACCCCAGAGTCTGTACAGGAGGCTAAAGTAGATATGTTGTTAATATGACGGTTTATACAACCCCGGCGTCTGTACAGGAAGCTAAAGTAGATATGTTGTAAATATGACGGTTTTTACAACCCCGGCGTCTGTACAGGAAGCTAAAGTAGATATGTTGTTAATATGACGGTTTATACAACCCCAGAGTCTGTACAGGAAGCTAAAGTAGATATGTTGTTAATATGACGGTTTATACAACCCCAGAGTCTTTCCAGGAGGCTAAAGTAGATATGTTGTTAATATGACGGTTTATACAACCCCAGAGTCTGTACAGGAAGCTAAAGTAGATATGTTGTTAATATGACGGTTTATACAACCCCGGCGTCTGTACAGGAAGCTAAAGTAGATATGTTGTTAATATGACGGTTTATACAACCCCGGCGTCTGTACAGGAGGCTAAAGTAGATATGTTGTTAATATGACGGTTTACACAACCCCAGAGTCTGTACAGGAAGCTAAAGTAGATATGTTGTTAATATAACGGTTTATACAACCCCAGAGTCTTTCCAGGAGGCTAAAGTACATATGTTGTTAATATGACGGTTTATACAACCCCAGAGTCTGTACAGGAAGCTAAAGTAGATATGTTGTTAATATGACGGTTTATACAACCCCAGAGTCTTTCCAGGAGGCTAAAGTAGATATGTTGTTAATATGACGGTTTATACAACCCCGGAGTCTGTACAGGAAGCTAAAGTAGATATGTTGTTAATATGACGGTCTATACAACCCCAGCGTCTGTACAGGAAGCTAAAGTAGATATGTTGTTAATATAACGGTTTATACAACCCCGGCGTCTGTACAGGAAGCTAAAGTAGATATGTTGTTAATATGACGGTTTATACAACCCCAGAGTCTGTACAGGAAGCTTCAGTAGATATGTTATTAATATGACGGTCTATACAACCCCAGCGTCTGTACAGGAAGCTAAAGTAGATATGTTATTAATATGACTGTTTATACAACCCCAGCGTCTGTACAGGAGGCTAAAGTAGATATGTTGTTAATATGACGGTTTATACAACCCCGGCGTCTGTACAGGAAGCTAAAGTAGATATGTTGTTAATATGACGGTTTATACAACCCCGGCGTCTGTACAGGAAGCTAAAGTAGATATGTTATTAATATGACTGTTTATACAACCCCGGCGTCTGTACACGAAGCTAAAGTAGATATGTTGTTAATATGACGGTTTATACAACCCCGGCGTCTGTGCAATAAACAACAGGTGAGGAGATTGCGTTGTAGAGGAAGACATGCCAGAGTGCGATACACCTGGATTCCTGGTCCAGCGTCCGTGCATTATCAATAAATATAAAGATCTACAACAACACTACGCCAGTGTTGTGGCAGAGATTATGATATAGCAATGACGTTGACAAAAATGACGTTGTGACGACAGTGGACCAGGGATTACAACCATTGTGGGATGTAGAGTGGGATATTTTCCACCATCCTTCCACATGCCTCGTGCCGCCATGTAAGACAACGGTCGGTCGAGACAGCATGTCGTCCTGTGTCGCACTCGGGGGTAGGAATGTCAACATTGTAGACGCTCGCTCGCTCCACCGACAGACGGAAATCGAAGCTACCGTTACCTACCTTCAGTGTAACGCCGTCATCATCTCGCAACGTCAAAAATGTCTCATCTTGTTTTCCCGTTGCACGGAGAATGAATGGACAGCGCTGTTTACGGGATTCAAACGGTTTCCAATCAATTATGGGTCGTTTTGTGCACCTTTATGTTTGCTGACTAAGCTGTAAACATTTGAGGGATCTCTTGAGCAAACGAACGGGAGGTTTAGATAGCCGGGTCTTGTGAGAAGTTAGTTGTTTCCTCAGTCCGAGGAGACTGCTGGACGTTCGTTAGACACCGTGTTCAGGAGCTCATCTATACACTGTTCACCTAGAGACCACTGTACCCCTCGTGACGTTAACGTGGACGGATATCGTGACTATGTTTTGACATAGTGCTCGTGAAATGACGCGTGCGCGAACAGTATGGCTGACGGGTTGGAGCGGTAAGTTAATAAATTATGATTAAATTAAAATTAAAATTATTGGCTTTGGGGCCAAGAGGCCTGGAGAAAATGCATAAACCAGCATATATGAAAGAGATGAAAATGTTATATATTAATCTATATTGTTTAATTAAAAATTAAATGATAATATCTATAGCGTGTATATTTCTATACATCATCTTTGTATACAGCCATGATTTTGTCCCCGTGCCCTGAAGAGAGAGATATATAAATAGAGATAGCTTGACGTTTCATGCCCTGTTGAAATTCCCGAATGGAATTCTTGTGTATGTCACCTAGTGCTGGCCCATCTCGATGCGCCACGTCTTCTCTGGGCTAGAAAGTTACAGTGATGTATTACCGTGCAGGTTAGCGGCAAGTGTTATGTCGCATGGCTGTCACTGCTGTCGCAACAACGTCGCAACAACGTGCCCACTGGACCCAGGAAACAGGAATTCTGTCTTACATCCTCACATTGAGAACCGCTTTTAATACGTTCCTTTAGGCGATCAATCACCAGACATATGCTGAATATGTAAACCATCTGACATATAATGAGATGGTTTTGCAAGGTCAATTTGTTTTTTTATGTTTTTAGTTTAACTTTAACTGAATGAAAAGGCTTCATT